CAAAACCCTCTCCCTTGGTCCCAAGTAGGGAAACTTTCCCTACAATATCTCTACCCCCCCCCCCCCGGGTCTTGCTTGAACCGTGACGATGTTCCACGTTGCAGGATGCCTGCCGGGGTGGAAGCATCGTCGCCAGCGAGCAGGAGTACTGCAACGCCGGCTACGAGGGGCCCCGTGAGTGCATCGCATAACTCTTACGGGGCATAATGCGAACCTTGCTGTAAATCTCTATATTTCCGTATGCATAAGATGCACAGGGGGGCAGGGTATGTCTGGGACCACGAGAGACCTAGAGTCATTCGAATGTCAGGAAGAAGGCTGAAGGTCTCTTTCGCTCGAACTACGTGCAGGACCCTCGCAAAACGCCGGGGAGATTCAACATTACTAAACCACGTTATTAGGATTTTCATGAAAACTGACAGAAGTGTGTTGTATTCTGTTGCTAATTTAGCAACATCAACCGACAGCGGCGTTTGCGGTTACTTTTGTTTTCATGGTCCGACGCACCTCTCGATCTGATATATGCTGCCGTCTGCGTGCCATCGGTTGTTCGTGATCCCGCTACAGAGTGCGCCGTAGTACCTCGCAATACGTCAGGTGGTACAGTAGTGAGTTTAGGTTACCCCCGTCCAGTCTCGACCTGATGCGTTCGGCCATCTGCCTCTGCTGCCTGCGGCGTGTTCGTCCGTTATCCCTACAGAGTGCGCCGTGTGTGCCTCGGGGTATGGCAGGGGGGTGGCCAACGCATGCCACCTGTGCACGGCCAGCTTCAAGGGGGGTATGTACTTCGTGCTTGCTGTTGCGTCGCTGCTGACGCTCTTCGTGGTCGCACTGCTTGCGGTGTACCTGGTGAGACAATAGGAGTTGCGATGGACTGTTGCTACGGTAGGGATGAAATATTACAAGAGGGACATCGTGTTGGCTACAGTCGTAGGCCCTCTACATGAAGGCGGGTATGCGCCAGACCGATCCGATTCACCCGCCTTATGCAGGGCACCCGCCCTTTCAATGTAGTAGCCGTCTTGAATATTCCATCTGTGCCAGCCAAGTTTACGTGCCCTATTGCGGGCAACTCACCATGAATAACCCGCCTTATTGAGTTCCTACGACTGTAGCCCTCTTTTTTCGATGATCGCACGGCGAAATAGGACACGATATGACGAGTTTTGCGTAGAGTGCAGCTGTCTCCCTACTCAATAGTGTAAGGTAAGGTACGATTAGGTGACACCTGGGGTTGTAGTAGGCATTGATGCGCCGCGTGACTCGTAGTGTCGATCATCCACCCGCTACTATTGTCGCTGTACGGCGATGCCACGGCTGGCTCACCAGGGCGGGTTTCGCACCTGTGCATGCGGCTTTCGTGACCTTCTCATCTTTTCCCGTCTGTATATACTTGGTACACCTTCTTGTGGGAAAAGCAGCCGCATCAACAGCAGTCATAAGGTGGTTATGTTCTGCGGCAGTTGTTGCACACGATTTCGATTTCGCTTTGCGCTCGAGGAGAGTGCTTTGATTTGGCGGATGTCCCCCAAACGTGATCCCCGAATATTCTCGAAAGATTGGGTGCCACCTTGAGAGAGCCTTAGTTCACTCGGCGAACATTCATACTGGTAGTTTGGGAGGCTATAAATGACGTTATCAAATCGTTGTTTAATCGAGGTTGACTACGGAAATTACAACAACAGTGAACTCACGCACCCGCCAGCGGTCCAGACCCCCCCCCCCCCCATGTGTTTGCCATCGGGGTTGGGTTTTCGTCGCTTGGTAACGACGTTGTAAAACAAGCCGATCACTTCGTGAGCTCGGCAACCAGGGTACCGCTGTTCTTATTGCCTCCGTTGTTTTTTTTGCGATATCCATAATGGTGGTCTAGTAGATTATGTTGTGCGGGGTCGAGAACCCTCACTCCGCGCAAAGGAGATGATCGCACCACGTTGTGTTAAACTGGGTCAAGCCCCCTCGAGGCAGTTACACAGTGCATATAACTGTCTCTAGAAGTGAAAGCACCAGGAAATAGACTAAGTCATACGCAGATGTCATCCGCACGCACGGAAGTAGACTAAGCACAAGATGCCGAACACCCTTAGCAGGATGCAGCGCACCCTTCATGCCACTTGCCGAATACCTCACGGTGCTTCGCGCTTGGTGATGTGAGAGCCTGATCTGGTGATAACCCGGCGTGCTCCGTCCCGGCTTTTTAGGAATGCGAGGTCAATGGTATAACGACTGCGGCATGCACGACTATGAGTACACTCCCCCCCTAACACTACCCCTAGCTGATGATCTCCTGGCGTAACCGCTACGTATGCTACGTATAGTCTGGTACAAGAGACTGAAGTGTTGCCGAACCTTGCGAATTCCAACAATAATTGAGATGGACGCCCATCATGACCGCTGTTCCCAAGTGCTCGTCTTCCAGGCATCAATAGTGGAAGGTTGTGTTGTAAAACCTGGGGTTCTAGCATATCACGGAAGAAAAGAGAAACAGAAGATCGGGCACTTATACCCAAGAAAAGCAGAAACGCTCCTGCCCCCCAACACCAAAACCCTGAAACCCCCCCCACCCGCGAAAACAAACAACACTCAATCAGGTGGGAGGCAGGGGCGCGGTGTCAAACACTATGACCAACACCCGGGAATCGGTCAGGATGCTACAGAAGCGCGGCTCCGGCCTGCTCCGCTCGGAGGGGACGACCCGCCGCTTCGACTTCAGCGCCAGCGGGGGATGGAGCAGCTGGCAGCACCCCACTAAGGGCGGCGACCCTCTCAAGAGCGTTGGCGAGGAGAGCGATGGCGGCGAAAGTGGCGGAAGCGGCCGGTTCATGGGGGCATGGGGCCGCCGGATGAGCGCCAGCATCGGGGTCCCCATGCGCGGCGCTGCTATTACATGCGCTGCTGCGGCTACAGGCCCATCGAGCTCGGTCAACGACAGTAAGGGCGCCGGGAACAAGCTGGACTCTGCCGGCACCATGGGAGCCGACTTTCTTCCTCTTGCTCGCAGCCGTGCCGCCGCCGCCGCGGCTGGGGGCACTGCAGCCGGTGGAATCCTTGTGCCCCCCACCATGCGGCGGGCCGACAACGAAGAGGAGGGGGACGTGAGCAACAACACGGCGGGGAGCAGCAGCAGCGGCCGCGGCCTACAACCCTCTGCCGCGCCGGCCGTGCGGGGCCCCCGCGGCGACGGGAAGGGGGCACGAGGAGGGCAGCAGCAAGGAATGGGTGGCGGCGACAGGAAGAAGAAGACGGCCGCCGCTAGGATCGGGGAGATGCTGGCGCGTCTGCCCCTGTCCAAGCTCAAGATCGTCGTAGGTGCGCAGTATTTATTGGGTGAAACGGAAGAAAGAGCGAGGAGGTGATGTATGTCTGCGTTGTTTCTTCTGTTGCCTGGTCGACCGTCTAATGTGTCTGAATCTCGCTCCCGAAATCGTACGCGACAGACGCAAAGTGCGCTCGTGCGGGAGCATTACTTTATAGCCTCCCCTGGTACAGCATTGTGAAGAGCCGGTTTACTCCAAACGCCCTCTTGCTTTGATTGGGGCACATATCGCATGCCTTCGTTGATCCTCACGACCTCTCCCTCCCCGCCCAACGTTTCTGCGATGTCCTCCCTTCCCTCACCGTTGTCGTCGTCCTTTGTGCCGCTGTGTTTCCTTGTTGCTATCCCCCGACTTTCGACTGATCCACGGGCCCCCTCGTGATGATGGCAGTCGTGTGGCAGATATCGAACGCGGTGAGAGCTACTTACGAGTGTTGCGTGGTGTGACTCTCCTGTAGGAATCATTTTTTGGGGGTGCAATGTCAATGCCGCGAACGTCGTCCAGAGAACCTCGGTGTTCTCCTCTCACTCTATCACTCTCTCTCTCTCTCTCTCTCTCTCTCTCTCTCTCTCTCTCTCTCTCTCTCTCTCTATCTATCTCTCTTTGCGATCCCAGAGCCCATGCGAGGCGCCATTCCATCCTCTTGTGCCGCAATACATCGCTTACGTTATTCTTCCCTCTCGCGCGTGTAACCGAAACACAAACGTTTCGCCGCCGTCTCCGACAACGGCCGACCGGTTCCTTTTCCTTACCTTCAGTTTGCGGAGGTCACGAAGGTGCCGTTCCCCCCGGTATACGAGAAATTCCTGTCCATCATTGGGATATTTTCGTTCGACCTTGGCTGGATGATCTCGGCGGCGTGCCTGACCGCGGGCATCGACTTCTACGACAAGCTTCTGTGAGGGTGACTCCGACTGTGATTCTGTTGTTCGGTCCCATCTCTCTTTGTGTTGTTGTTGTTGAAATATCGTTGGTGATGATTTTAAGGCATTGGTTATTACAACAAGCATACTCTGACGCTGTCGTTCGTTTCCATCTCTCTTGATACTGTTGGTGGTGGTGATGGCTGTGGTTGCGGTGCTAGGTGCTGCTGCTGCTGCTGCTGCTGCTGCTGTTGCTCTTGTTTGGCCTCCTGTTTCATACACGTCACTTTTCCTCTCTGTGGTACTTCGTTCCTATCACAGGATCGTCACCATTGGACCCGTGGGCCTTCTCCTCCTGCTCGGCTTCACCTTCTACCTCGGCGCCCGGCCCGTCCGCACGGGGAGGGTAATCGATATGAGCTTCCGCAACAACACCAGCACCAGCGTCAGCTCGGCCACCGCCGCCACGCTCGCAGCCTACGACAGCGGCATCAGCGGAAGCGTGAGACCCCGAGCAGGAGCGAGCGATTCTGCGCGTGGGACCGCTTCCACTACCGCCTCCGCTAGACGGGGGAAGGGGGCTTCGCGTTCTGCGATGGCAGCGGCGGCGGCGGCGGAGAGGGCACGGCAGGGGAGGGCGAGGCCGTCTGCTAGGAGGGTCTGGAGGAACGGCCCCGGTGACGAGTCGGACATTGAGCAGGTGGGGGGGGGAGGGGGGGGGGTGCATGCCGTAGACCATTGACCTCGTATCCTGGAGAGGACGGAGCGAGTGTGTGTGTATGTGTGTGTTTGTACTCATGCCAACGCATTCCGTAGTGGGTAGGCCGTTGACCTCGCATCCTGGAGAGGACGGAGCGATAGGGGGGTGCTCGTGTAAACGCACGCCGTAGACCAACGATCTCGCATCCTCGAGAAGACGGAGCGGGGGGTGCGGGTACTCACGAAAACGCATTCCGTAGTCGGTAGACCGTTGACGTCGCGTCCCTACCCAGCCGACTTGAGGGGGGGCGCTGTGGCTGTCACGTGCGATGCTGCAGTACAGTCTGTGTCGTCACCACCGAAAGAGTGTCTTGGTTAGCCCTGGGCTCGTTTCTTGTTTTCTCTCTGTGGGGGTACCCCAACATCGACTGTGAACGCTGTAGTGTACGATTCTTGAGCAAGCACCTGTTGTTGCGTTAAGGTTTTTCATTTTTTCGTATTCCACGGCTGTTTAAAGCGGTGGTGGGTGCATCATACGACGTAATGATCGGCGTATATAGGCTCTGCCCACAATATCCAGATTAGACTGGTAGAGGTAGAGGCTGACCTGAATACATGGTTTGATTTTCGGCTTCGCTGACTCGTCAAATGGTTCTAATAGATGCATCCCATGAGGCATGTCTTGTTGTTTCATTTTGTCGCCTTCGTCGATGTCCGTGCCGTTCGTCATTCTGGTGTCGGTTTTTCCCCCTCACCCTTACTCCCAAGTGATCAACCTCACCACTCTTCCTCTCTCGCTGCTGTTGCTGTGTGTGGTTTCTCTGTTTTTTGTCTGCATTTCATTAGAACCACCTGTGGGAGCTGTTCGCCAGGCACACCACCATGATGCTGATTATCCTGTACCTTGTGTACACACAGGTTTCCACGGTGGTGAGTAGTACTACAAATATAGACTGCAATACAGAAACGGGCCCGGACGTCAAAATCGGGACGAGGCTCAGTTTCTTTTTTTGTCGCCACTGCTTTCGAGCACAGGTTGTTAGATAGAGTTTAGTCTAGGGTCCGCCGGTGAGCTGTGTTTCTTAACCCTTGCTTCATATAAATGGTGAAAATCTGAGCCTCCGTTTCTTAACGAAGTATTTCTTTCCTGCGGACCCGCATTGTGCCTATCGCAACCATCGCAGCTGTTGTACCCCCCCCAAGCACTAGATTGTGGTGTTTTGTCGTTGGGGACCCAAGCTTTGTCGGAACTCCAGCCTCTTGTCACTGGCGCTCTTTACACGGTGTCATGCAGAGCCAGCCCGACATGCTGTCGTCTCGTCACGGCCGGCCCATCCCATACAGTATCGTACCGTAACCGTTCCATGCCTTACGGCCCTATACCGTATTATCAAGGCAAGTCCTTACAGTATGTGCGTTGCATGACAACATACCGTATTATCAAGGCAAGTCCTTACAGTATGTGCGTTGCATGCAACAGGTGTTCCAAGCGTTTGCTTGCGAAGACTTCCCCGAGATCGGCAAGAGCTTCCTTCGAGCGGACTTCCGGATAGAGTGCGACACGCCCAAGCACGACAACTACAAGACTTACGCCGCCGCCATGATTTGCATCTGTGAGTTATTAATAGTTGATCCCCCTTAGCCTCATTGGTTGGGGGTTGGGGGGTGCGGTTTCCAATATCCGTGACATGAAAAGAAACAAATGGGAGACACATGATACGTCGTGCTAGTCGTGGCGGTGATGGTGTCATTCATTGCCTCGTTTGCCGGTCCGCCTTCCGCCATAATGTCATTTTGGTGTATGGCTACCCACCGCCGAGTTTGGTCTGATGCCGCTGTCGCACACTGCTGTTCTTCGGTCTGCTCGTTTGTTTGCCCCCCCCCCGCCCCTATAAACACACCGCGGAGAACCCAAGATCCTCTCGGTATCCCCGCAGCCTTCTGCTACTTCCTCACGAGGCAGATGTCCCGCATCAACCCACCCACGGACAAGGGGCTGAAGAACCAACGGGGGCGCAAACATGTTGTTGTGCGTATGTGTATGTGTGTGTGTGTGACATACCTTGTAAGAGGCGTGGACTAAATGCTAGAAGCACAGAGAGCATACGGGGAGAAACTTATGTGCCCGTTGCACGCCCGTAGTATAGGTGAAATACTTCTACAGTACTTGTATGTTTTCCTGGAATGAAAGAAAGTTTGAACAACGCATCTAAAATATTTGGTTCGAACTCTCGCAGAGAAATGAAACCGCGGCTGCAGTTGATGAGCGAATGAAGGGTCATGTGTGTGTATCTTGCTCCAAATTGCTCAGTAGATTTGGGTGGGGAAATGGACCAAGAATGCTATAGATTGCGTTGCCCTTTTGCTTTCCTGGTTGCTTAGTGAAATGTCTGATTGCTGATTAGATTTCGATTGTAAACAGCTGGCACGTACACTCCAAAGTGCCCATTCGACACCTCTCTCTAGCGGACGCAACATTGCCTGGCATATCGGCATTCACTAGGCAACTTATCGCGAGAAGCAGAGCTTCCCCTCATCATGAGCACGGTTAACGTTTTTTGGCGCCGAAATCAAACCCGCCGGTGGACAATTGTTGTCATCACTGTCTAGTCTACCGTATACGACACAGGATAACACACACCCTAGACAGTTTTCGAAAAGCTCGATTGCTCCACGACGAAGAGGATGAATAACCGAACCGATACGTTTTCGGAGAGCTCTCGACCAGACGATTTCAACGCTGCCATTTTCGGCACCCCCACGTTGATAAATTGAGCTTTGAAAATCGGTCCAGGGGTTGTGTTATCTTGTGTCGCATACGGTAGACTAATGGTTTTATTCTCGGCCTCTGAAGTGCTACGAGTGCTGAACTCCTCACCTTCCGAACTTTCCGTTTTGGCAGACCGAGAAGATGAATCAGAGGAGGACTGACCGAGCAATTGCGCCGACTTCTTTCCTGTGGAACGCCTACTACCCGAACCGATACTACTACGAGGTATGTTGTTCGGCGACCCCGGCAATAATAGTGTTCTACCCCGAGGAAACGTAACGCGGTACTGGTCCCTGTACAAGGCCGAGTTAGAGCAGCGGGTCGCCCTTTCCAAGGCCGGTGAAAAGGTGTGACACAGATGGAATTGTTCAAGTTGTCTCATTCTCCCGACTACAGTAGTAGTGCCTTGTACACGGTCATGTATTCGACATGCGCCCTTACTATGTATCCCCCCCCCTCTCAAACTCCGTTTTTTTGTTGTGGCCGGTAGGTTTTCGAGTGCTTGCGGCGTCTACTGCTGACGGGGCTGCTGGTGTTCCTCGCGCCTGACACGCCGGGACAGGTGGCCTTCGGTTGCGTCTTCGCCTTCCTTAGGTGTGTGTGTACGTACGAAACAAGCGTGAGACATAACTGCCGTCGTTGTTGTTGCGTGCTCGTATTCCTTAGGTTTGTACTCCGGAGAATATGGACACAAACTTACCTGCTGCCGTCCAGTCATTGTTGTTGCGGTCGTTTTATTGCGGAGTTTGTTGCCAATTCCTTCGTGAATTGCCGTTAACGCTGATGGTTTCCCCTGCCATAGTAAGGAGAACCTAGAAGGTGTTGTTTGTTTCCCACCTCCTGGCTGACATTCTGGTCTGGTGTGTCTTCCGTTGTCTCCCCCCTCACACCATGATATTCGTTCGTCTGCGTTGTTTGCGAAACCGAACAGCCTGTTGGTGTTTGAACTCCTTCGGCCACACACGGACCACCTCGACATGCAGCTCTACCGTACGGTGAGAATGAACAAGAACCTCCTTCGAAAGAACCTCCTTCCTCGCTCCTCGCTCCTCGCTCTCGTGCAAAGAGTGTGTACGTGTGTGTATGTCCCGTCTTCTTTGGGGCCGGTCTAGACCACGCACCTTTCGGTCAAGACTACCTGGTGTACGTTTGACGTAGGGGGAATATCACACCGGAGGAATGGCACACAGGTTTTTTTTTTCTTGTTGACTTTGATTTCCGTGTACTGTGGTAGCATACGCACTTACAGCTGGATGCATGCCATCTTCATAGTCCAGTAGAGTTGTCAGCTTAACAGGCCAGGAATGAATGAATGAATCTGTGTATTAGAGTATGAGGCATCATCTGCACAGTGGTTAAAAAGCAGCTTCCTGTATTCTTCCGCATCCCCCAACATGGCATGGCCGTTTGCATGCTCCTTGCAGAAGCAAGAATTGGCTTGGCTGCCCAGGTAAGTTTGACGTCCCATGTGGCATTCTTGTACGAAAAAATAGCCAGCATGCCTGACACGAAAAATGCCTAAGGCCCTTGCGTACAGCCAAGTGGTGCTACGGTATCAAAGCGAAGATGACTGACACATTAGACGTCTACGGTCCTCAGGTACAGCCCTAACCCTAACCTTTCCCGACCTCCGTTCGTCGCTGCCCCACCCCCTCCTCAATGGAAACCCCATCAGGGATGCCTGGTGATATTCTTCACTAATTTCCTGGTGAGACGGGAGGCTCTGTTCCGACTTTATCTCGTTTCTAAATAGTGAGATCTTGATACTTGAATCAAAAGACCAGGATTAGACTAGACGACAGAATTGCCGGTGAAAGGACCAAGTACTGGCTGTACGACGGTGCTTCGAAAGCTGCACCTTCATCCTTTATGCCGGCTGGTAATACTGATTGTTTCGTATCTTAGTCGTGTTAACAGACTTGAAATACGTAAGCCCAGAGACTCCTCTGCTTTAGAGTTGGATGTCCTGTGTTCTATAATGTCGTTCATATACCGGAAGCAATAAATGTTGCTGTTTTTCCTCAAGGTTCATTTGTTTCTCTTTGTTCTATGGATCGTGTAAGTCTTCCGTGCATCACTTTTTTTCGCGGAAGAAACGGCCCGAATGATTTTGTTTTTCCTAACGTTTTTGTTCTAGATCTCAAGTGTTCCTTTCGTCGACTTGTTTTACGTGAAAAAACACAGGCCCTGATGATCAAGGCCAACGTGGCCAGCCCGGACTCTAGGGGCTGCGAGGTATACTCGGTCGTCCTGATCATCGTCAACGTGCTCTTCTTCCTGTCCATCTTCTGGAATACCTTGGCCGCAGCTAAGGCCTCCTTCAGCAGACGACACGTGCAGGCGAGACAGACAGAGACAGACAGACGAACCGACAGACAAACAGATAGACAGACAGAGAGAGAGAGAGAGAGAGAGAGAGAGAGAGAGAGAGAGAGGGAGGGAGAGAGAGGGAGAGAGAGGGAGAGAGAGGGAGGGAGAGAGAGAGGTCCCGTTCGCGGATGGGATGATGATTGTTTTCCTTGCACCATTTTTCGGAGAGCCTTTTTTTCTTCCTTTTGTGAAATCGAAGTTTTCCCTCTGTTGGTGATGACGTCTGGTTGCCACCTCCCGCTGCAAGCAATACACCTTGGTTCTGATCTTGACGCGCTTGCCCTGCCTACTCAGGACATGGTACTGGGAGTCGATATCGTCAACGAGAAACAGCTGGACAAGATCATCGGCCCCAAGAAGACCAAGGTCAAGAAGACAAAGCAGCAGAAGCTCGATGACGCCCTCGGTCCCGATGACGGTGCCGGCTTCGCTAAGGCCGTCGAAGACGGGAAGATGGAAGACCTTGAGGCAGCCCCCGCCTGGGAGGTGGACCCGGACGACCCTCCCGACTCGCCCATCGACATCAGCAGCAGGTGGGATGATATGGTACCGTTGCAGTTGTTGCGTTGGCAAGGTTACGTTGCTGTGTTGCCAACTGTAGTCTATTTTTTTTTCCGAGAGTTTTTAGGCGACACCGGGAACGGGATGGATGAGAAATACTAATGCAACATATTGGTGCCATCGGGAGCAGATGGAGTCGTTTTGTAGGAGAGTTTTCCTTATGAGTCTTTGCGTCGACGTCACCAAAGCTCAGTTATTAATTTTTTGTTGTAGGAACGAGTGTTCTCCCCAGCAGACGTACCGAGCATTGGTGTCGTTAGAATTGTCTGGTCGAGAACTTTCCGAAAAACTATTGTTGGTTTGGTTTAGACACCCCCCTCGTCGCGAAGTAACCAAGCTTTGAAAATTGGTCCAGGGGGTGCGATCTCTGATGGAGTAGTCGAGCTTGAAAATCGATCCAGGTGGTGTGGTATCTTGCGTCATGTCACCCACCGCTACGGTATAGCCCTACTGTAAGGTCGTTACATGGTACATATGTGACCAAGGCTCGCGTCTCGATCCGAAGCATTCGACGAGAGACGTACTACACCCTGATATTTACGACAAGGCTAACAAATCTAACTTCTCCACTTCGCACCCCCGCGATCGACCGTGTGGAGAAGGATTTATGCCCGGGACCCCGGGGGGCACTCGGTTGCGAGCACGGTGGCGATACCCTCCACCTTTTGGGGGGCTCCGTCTATCAACACGTCTCCCAGCGGTGCCGGCGGCCCCAGCGTCGCGGGCAGAAGTTCCGTCAACTCGGTCGAATATGTTTCTGTTTCTGCTTCTGCTGCTCCTCCCCGTAGGGGGGGGGTGTCGCAGCCGTTTGCGTGGGGCGGCGGAGGGGGGCCCGCGACCGGCGGTGGGGGGGTAGCAATAAACGCCGGGGCACTCGGTGCGGAGTCGTTGCTGTTGGCGGAAGGGACGGAGTGAGAAGATGAAGGGCAGCAGCAACGGAGAGGTTTGGGCCGGGCGGTGGGAGTTTGCTTCGTTCGGCGTGAGTGTAGCGTGATGTTGACGTCGCTCGTTGTTGTCGGCAGCGGCCTTGAGGACGGATGCTTCTTCCCTTACGGATGACGCCGGCAAAGATGATTGTTGTGTGTCGGAGGCAAAAGAGTATTGGTATTTTACTCTGGCGCGAGACGCGGTTGAGAAACACAATTTTTGTCTTTTTTTTTTGCGTTTTTCGTGATATTGTCGGTGTTTCCGACCTCTGCTTGTCGTACGTACCAAAAACGCACGGCCTGAGAAGGAAAAGAGCGGGAGGAAGGCTGGTGTAAGCTTTACAACCACAACAACAGCCCACCGGCCGGGTCAGCCATTTGGTTCCGAGTGGACAATATTAGGTTCCTGTGAATTGGGTCGAGGCAATGCTCAGCCCCTTTTTCATTGATGCATTGATTGATGTATTGACATCTTCCATGCCTGGTCGCGTTGGGCATGATTTCTCGACTGTTTTTCTTTTGCGGATGCCGGCCTGTGTAACACTTGTTTTGGGCGCGGATGTTGGTTTTTTTTTATTTCTTTGCGGATGCCAGCCACTGTGTTGCCAATTAACAGAAGCACATGCCTTCCGACAACCGGGGCTTGCCGCTTCTGTTGACGTCTGTTGTTTGCGGGAGGACATGGGGGTCTACGGTTCGCTGCACGCAACTCTGCTGCAAAGATGGGTGATAGGAGGATCCACGCGAGATTTGGCCTGCTTTGGGCGACTTTTGGACATGCGTGCATGTGGTAGACGAAAACCCCAGAACCTTTACTGTACTGTATTATTGAAGCTTAAAGTAACGTCCATCTTGTTCCCTTGTTATTGTTGTTGTTGTTGTTGGTCCCTCTGCTGCCCCTCTTTGGGGCATATCCCTTCTGTTCGTTGTTTGTGTTGGTCTTTCTGCTTCCCCTCTTCGGGGCCTGCTGTAGAGTCAACGTCGTTTGGCGGGTGGTGCTCTGTTGGCTCTGCTGGCGCCCCGGTCGATTTGCTCTGGCAAGAACGTGTGGCACAAACAAGTAATTGTTTTATGATTCGTGTTCTGGTCATCTCCGGGTGTTGTTCTGTCCTTGTTTTTTTTCTTCTTGTTTTCGCTCTTCTTTCACATGCGAACGATGATCGATGTTTTGGTCCTCTCGAGTTGATGGATGTCGTGGTCTGTCCATTGCAACCAGGGTGGATTTTTTTTTTTTGTTTCAGGCATGATGGCTTCCGGTCTTCAGGTACAGGGGCATATGCTTTCGCAAAAATCGTTGCATGCAGAAATAATTTACTTTTGGCCTTTTTTTGCATCTGCCGGTGCATAAGGTATACTAGCAGCATTTTCCTATCTATTATTCATACATGTGCGTAGAAGACATTTCTTAACGGTGGCATACTCGTACATGTTTGCATGTGAAAAAGCGCAGGCGGCGCCGATAACTTTGTAATTCGGGCTACTTGTTATTCTGTCTTTATGTAGCTCCTGTCTGTCCCGGGATTATGATGCGGTGCGGTAACAATGCGGTGCTTTTGCGCAACCGCTAGTGAATTCGCCACTCGTATATGTTTATGTTTGCACGTGAAAGCGCTGTAGGCGGGCGCTGGGTGAAATTCATTTCAATCAGCGGTTCTTTGTTGTCGTTATTGTCTATTCAGCGAGTATTTATTCACGTGTTCTACTGCGGCTATTGTTAAGCGGTGCGGTGACTGACGCGAGAGAGAGAGTATGCGCAAAGATCGATAGTTGATGGCGGTTATTTGATAGCCTCACGCGACGATGCCTTACGAGAACGCGCCTGTAGCATGGTAGAGGGGATGATGGTGGTATGGTATGTAGGTATTTTTGCTCCTTTCTCCAGGTTGACTTAGACGGGGGGGGTCGGTTGTGTGACGATGGGTTGGGCGTTTTGATAGCTCCCCCGTCAACTGATCATGATCGCTCTCACGATACGGGGGTCCTGTACCAGGGATGAGACATATTGTCCTTTACATCTGGCACGTGAGGCAGGCAGAAGATACACAGTAGTTATTGATTCCATGTTTTTTGCAGTTGATCAGAAAGCTAGGATCGAGAAACAGGGTACAGCTTTTCGCCCTTCCAGCAAGTGATGCCCGCGAAATTACGGCAGTATCCCATGGCGGCGCAAGAAGAAGTACAGGTACCAAGTTTACTAGTTTGTTCGGGCACATAAATATTGTGCCGGTATGTGTCATCATCATGATTGCGTTTTTATTCACCTGCAGAAGCCTTCTAGTCTGGCAGGCCTGTGCGGTGTACTGTTGGTTTCGTGGTTATGACACACGTACGTGCCTCTTGCACGGCAGCTAAGCGCAGAGTAGCTTGCCCGTGCCCCTTGTACGGACGGCGAGCTTGGAGGGAACGGATGCATGTTTGGTTGGTAGCGGCTTTCGGTAAAAAACTTGCGTGGGCGTATCGGGCAACAGATTATGGGCCTCGCGTGAAATTGCGTGGTTCATGAACGAACGCGGTAGAGGGGAGCTTGGGGGAGAGGTGGCCTTGGGTGAAATCGCGTACTACTGTTGGAAGCCTTGGTCGACATGACAACCTTGTAAGATACATGAGGCGCATGGAGGACGGGTTCGGGTTGTGGAAAATTGGCCGTCCGTAAAGCACAAATGATAATGTTTCTTTCCGTTGATGATCGCGTTTTGGGTTGAGTTTTCTGGCCCTTCGATTAATTCATCTAGTTTTTTTCCGTGAGGATTAATTTGGGTGATGGTGGTTACTGTAGCCTGCCTCTACGGTACGTGCCCGCGTCAGTAGTAACCGTACGGGTGCTAGAAGGTAGAGGAGTACTTTGAGCAGAGATCGAGACGAGCTTTTCATCGTCAAGACACACGCACAGCCTGGTGGGCTGTGGCACGTTTCTTCTTGCTCGGATGTTCGTGGTGTCGAGAGGTTGTTAGTGTCGTGTGGCCAAGGGCAGGCAGGGGACCACTCCACCCCCGGGCCAAGCTGTCAATGTGGTCAGTTTTCGGCGGCTTCGAGCACTGCTTCTCTCACGTTTGTTTGCCCACCAATATATTTTTCGGGGCGCACACACACGCTCTCATGCGCTGGATGTTTCACTTCACCAGCACGCCGTTCATTTCGGATATTTCGCTTCGCCGGCGGTGGTCGATCGCCGCTGTATCCCTCTCCACCAAGCAGCATCAGCATCCTGCTTCGTGCCATTTGGGGATGATGAGATCTACATGCAGGCTCCATCTCCTGCAGTCCACCCACCCGTAAAAAACAATTCAGTCCTGCCCTCCATTTTGTGAAGAAAATAACAAAAAAACATGCAGAACGGTATACTGCGCCTCCCCTTCCTGCCACGCCCACGACACGACGACAACAATTTCAGTTCCCCGCTTCGGCACGACCGCCATGTCCCCCGGTTTCCTCCCCTTTGATTTGTGATTTCAGCAGTCCAGACGCTTTCCCCAACCGTCCACAGCGGACGTTGCACCATCTGAATGTTCGAACACAAGCAAGCCCTCTAGGTTATGTGTCGTGTGTATTTTCGGTTCATCCATCCATCCATTTCGGCCTCAGCCACCGCTTTTCGGTGTACATCGGACGTGTCGACCGGTGTTGGTTCTCGAAAAGAAGAACAAGGTTCAAACGGTTTCACCATTTTCATATCAACTCAACAAGGACAATAGCTGGCGTGTTGCGGGTTATTGTCGCTTTCCCGCTGCTTGTGGCGACGCCCTCGAAGCCATCCGGCAACGGACCACCTTGCCTCAAAAATGAATAGCGCGCGTAACTGCGGGCTGGCTACCACGTTAATCTCCTCACCGCCTAGGACTCCCTCTCCTGTTTTTTTTTCCCGTGGAAAACCACCCAACCCTATGAATGATACGATGGGCGAAAGAGGAACATTAGCGGCGGGACTAAAGGGCAGCCCCCTCTTCCCACGCCCACTCCCATAGAAAGGAGTAAGAGCGTAGTAGAGGGACAGTAAAATCCGGACAATGATCGGCATCTCAGCCCCGACCGAAACCGTTGACACAACTCCACACGAGACCTATATCTGTCAAGCCAGCGGGGACGGTGCTTTTCAAGTCCAACCGACACCAGACCGTGTCGCCGTCATCATCGAAGGAGAGACCCGTATTGACCTGAGTCCCCCCCCCCCCCCCCCCTTATCCCAAGCCACCTCCTCCACAAAAGTCGAGCGGGCAGTATTTAGTGGTACGAAGCAAAGAATGCTTAGAGGGAAAACTAAGCACATACGCGTGTCCCGAAAGTCAGCACGAAATTCTCGTGCGCAACGGACCCCCACTGAGCCCACCGACCTCTTGAGGTAGGTATGGTAGAGTCCTCGCGTATCGTGGTCCTTGTAGATCGCTTTGAGTTCCGTCACACATCGGTCTACAGGTGGGCATATATATCTGCCCGTTTCGACTGCTGCATCAGCCACTCCCTTACACGCTGCTTTGACGGAGCCCTCCACATTGCTGTGTTTCAATTGTCCTTCATCGCTCGTCGCGCTTCCCGCCGCTTGGCAAGGGCCTCTTCCAGCGCTGCTCTTGTCTCTGGGGTCTCACACCACTCCGTCCTGCGTGCGTCGTCTCCGCGGTTCCTCGGGTAGTATCGCCCTCACCGCTTCGAGGAGAACATTGGTGAACTCGGTCACCTTCTCCGGGGTGGTGGTGGTGGTCGCTCGTTCACCCTGCCCGTATCGCGTTGCTTCGACCTGCAATTCCCGTCGGTTTGGTCCGAACTACTCGGTTGTGGGCAAGCCTGCCACTTTGCCACCGAGGCTGGCGGTGGCCGTGGGTAACCTACATACACTATTTGACAAACGCAACAAGCTTCGATGGAAGTCGAAATTGACTTCCATGGAAGTGGTTCACTGCTTCCATGGAAGTGGTTACCCCTTCCATGGAAGTCACTGTCACTTCCATGGAGTTCAATATCGACTTCCTCTGTGGAAGTTGTAAGGCTGGAATCGTTTCCTCTGTTTCGGGTTCCAGCTTCCATGGAAGCACCCGATATCAACCGATGGTTGCTTCCATGGAAGTCGCATTTCGGACTTCCACGGAAGCGCCACGAGCTTCCCTATTTCCTCCATGGAAGCACGAAAACTTCCATGAATGCAACTTCCGTGAAAGTGGGTGACAGAGGTCGAAACCGACTTCCGTGGAAGCACCGAAATTTCATGAATCAATTTCCACGGAAGCGTCTGAACATGTGGTCATTCCAGCTTCCCCACCCTAGCGCTAACCGTAACCTTATCCCTACCCCCGTAACCCCAAAGCAACTTCCACGGAATAGTCTACGGCCATTCCAGCTTCCCTACTCTACCCCTATCCCTAACCCTATCCCTAACCTGACCCTCACCCTAACCCAGAAAAGACCATGGCCTGAGGCTAAATACTTCCATGGAAGCACACCAAACCTGTTTTCAATAGCTTGGATGTAAGCCTTAAGTTTCGACTCCCATGGAAGCGGAATAGCTTCCATGGGATTTCCTTGGGACTTCCGTGGAAGTCAACTTCCAGGGAGTGGCACATCCACATTTCATATCTTTAATTCCATGGAAGGGAATATCAATTCCACGGAAGCGTCGTTTTGCGCTTCCACGGAAGTACAAAACGTGTAGATTTTATGGAGGAAGTGGTATCAGCTTCCATGGAAGTAGATCCAGCTTCCATTCCATTGAAGCTGAGTCATACTTCCATGGAAGTGGAACACGTTTTGTCAAATAGTGTGGGAGATCGGTGGCTATGACATGTTGTGGTCATAGTCCGCCTTGGCTGGGCTTACCGGCTGGGAGATGACAACCACGTTAAACACTCGGCCGCGGTGTGCTTGCCGCTTTAGGAAGTAGTCGAGGCGCTTGCAGTTGGTTCCTGACGCACAGTGGTATGTGTGCCATATTTTGCCCTCTCCAAGGTGTTCGTGAGTGCTAACGTGTTTTTCGCTTCAATGGTCAGCAGGAGTCGGTCATTCTCGTTCAGCTCATCACGCCCGTGCATTCCTATGACTCCCAGGTCGTCCCCCTCCATCCTCTCTCCCGTCCTCGCACTGGAGTTCATCAGGATATACACACACTCTTTGGAGGGAATCCTCCACACGAGACTGCCAAGGTCTCCCAGAACTAAGTCTGTCTTGCTGTCGGCGGTGGAGACCTCGGCTGGGGCGTACGCATCAACGAAGTTGACCGCTCCGCGGTTACCTGTCATCATCTCAAACCTCATGGCCGTAGACTAAGGTGTTCATCGGTATACTCCGTAGAAAACGTGGAGGACTTGCACACTGACTATCCCTATGGGATCACCCTTCTGCGTGCTAGAGCAGAACACTCGCAAACCCGCAGTCTCCCACACACTGGCAGTTTCGCTAAATGAACTGCTCATAGGGCACCCATGGGCAGCCCATGGGCAGCCCATGAATTGCCCACGAAGGTCCCATCGTGGGCACTTTCTAGGACTCGCCACAGGCATGTCAATCAACCTACAATATTATAGAACTTAGCCATCGGCGCATCAGCCTAGAACTTAGTAGTTAGCCTGCACCAACCAGCACGTATCGTGTGGGCTTGGGCTGGGGTTAGGGTTATTGGTTGTTGGCCGTTTTCTAATGCCCGTTCCAGACCAGATAACGTATAGTTTATAAATTGCCCTATTAGGAGGAATACACTGGTTCCGGTTGAAGGCCCCCATTGGCCGCCCATGGGCTTGCCCGTAGGCATTCCGCATGGGCTGCCCATGAGCATGCCCATGGGTGCCCCATGGACAGTTTAGCGAAACTGTAGAAAGTGTGGGAGACCCGAAGTCCACCGCTGCGACTTCCGTAAGCAGGTGTTGGGGGAAACAGGTAGGAATCCCGCTGAACCACACCCGTCAATCAGCGGAAACCGAACACTGCTTTCTCTCTTGTTGCAGACAGGCTCTGAGTCAACCTGGAGAAAGGAGTAAAAACCTACCGTACCATCATCATCTCCTCTACCATGTTACAGCCGCGTCTTCTGAAGGCATCGTCGGGTGAGGCTATCAAACAATCGCCATCAACCAGCGATCTTTACACGCACTCTCTCTCCCGTCAGTCACCCCACCGCTTAACGATACCCGCAATAGAACACCGCGTGAATGAATACTCGCTGAATCGAAAAAAAAAACAAGAACCGCCAATTGAAACAAAGTTGCCTAGCGCCTAAACCGCTTTCACGTGCAAACATGTGCGAGTATGCCACCGTAAAGAAGGCTCTTCTGCGCATATGTATGGATAGATAGGAAAAAGCTGATATGCACACGTAGTAACCTTACTGTATGCGTCGAGAGATACAAAAAAGAATGAAGGTCAAGAAATATGTATGTCTGCATGTAACGTTTCTTTCGAAAACACATGCCCTGTACCTCAAGCCATCCTGCCCGAACCAAAAAAGAAGCCGCCCTGTTACAATGAACAGACAAGGTCTATCCATTAACTCCAAAGGAACATCACATCAACGCTTGAACCGAGATAGATGATCGATCATCGCTTGCACGAGAAAAAAAAAAGGAAAGAAAAAAACAAGAACAGAACACCCGGAGATGACCAGGACACGACATAAAACTATTACTTGTTGGTGCCACACGTTCTCTCCAGAGCAAATCGACCGGGGCAACAACAGAGCCAACAGAGCACCACCCGCCAAAAGGCATTGACTCTACAGTATGGGCAGAAGAAGGACCAACAATAACGACAACAACGACGAGGGAACAAGATGGGCATTCTTAGCAACGTATAGCAAAAAAATAAGGTTCGGGGGGGTTCGTCTACCACATGCACGCACGCATGTCCAAAAAACCACCGAAGCACGCCAAATCTTGAGTGGATCCTCCTATCAACCCCAAGCTTGCGCAGCCAACGGTAGACCGCCATGTCCTCCCACAAACAATAGAACGCCAACAAAAGCAGCAAGACCCGGTTATCGGAAGGCGTGTTCAACACAGTGGCTCGCATCCGCAAAGAAATAAAACAATCATGATCACGCGCCCAAGCTCCCAAAGCAAGTGCCATAGGCCGGCATCCGCAAAGAAAAACAGTCGAGAAATCATTAATAAAGATCAGGCATGGAACACCCATGTGTCAACGCATGAATGAAAAAGGGCGGGCATAGCATTGACTGGACCCAATTCACAGGAAACTCATATTTTGAACTCGTTATCAAATGATTCGCCCGCCTGGTCGGCTGTTGGTGTGGTTGTACAGCTCACCAGCCGTCCTCCCGCTCTTTTCCTTCTCGGGCCGTGGGTAATTGATACCTACGGCAAGCGGAGGTCGGAAACGCCGATATTATAACGAATAACGTAATAACAACAGAAGAATATTATATAGCACGAACGCGTCTCGCGCAGCAGTAAACTACCAAAACTCTTTGCCTCCGACACAAAGCGACCATCCTTGCCGTCACCCATAGGGGCAGAAACATCCCTCCTCAAGGCCACTGCCGAAAACAACGAGCGGCATCAACATCACACTCACGCCGAACGAAGGCAAACCCCTACCGCCCGGCCCAACCATCTTCGTTGCTGCCGCCCTTCATCTTCTCACTCTGCCCCTTCCGCCAACGGCGACGGCTCCGCACCGGGGGGTTCGGCGTTTCTCGCTAATCCCCCACCGCCGGTCCCGGGCCCCCCTCCACCGCCCCACGCAACAGGGTACGACCCACGCACCGTCCGGGGAGGAGTAGCAGAAGCAGAAGCAGAAGCAGAAGCGACAGAGTTGACGGATCTACCAGCGACGCTGGAGCCGCCGGTACCGCTGGGAGACGCGTTGATGGACGGAGCCCCCCAAACGGTGGAGGGTATCGCCACCGTGCTCGCAAGCGAGTGCCCCCTGGGGTTTAAGGCATAAACCCTTCCACGCACGACGGAAAACGCAGACGGTCGATCGCGGGGATGCGATGTGGAGAAGTGGGCGGGTGGGTGCAGGGGGTGTTGTTGGCCTTGAATTTAATCTAGTACGTCTCTCGTCAAATACTGCGAATCCGGCCGCGAGGCTCGGTCACTACCTACCGACGTACGCCCACCGCAGTGGTGGGTGACATGACCACCATTTCTCCTCACTTCTGCTGCGGAGAACACAAGTTCTCACCACAAAAACAAATAGCTGAGCTTTGGTGACGTGGACGCAAAGACTCATAAATAGAACACTTCAAAAAAACCACTCGAGTTGTTGTATATTTGTATTTCTCATCCATCCCGTTCCTGGTGTCGCCCAAAACCTCTGGGAAAAACGTAGACTGCCGTTGGCAACACAGCAACGCAACCTTGCCACCACAACAACTGCGACGGTTACATATCATCCCACCGGCTGCTGATGTCGATGGGCGAGTCGGGAGGGTCGTCCGGGTCCGCCTCCCAGGCGGGGGCAGCCTCAAGGTCTTCCATCTTCCCGTCTTCGACGGCCTTGTCGACGCCGGCGCCATCATCGGGGCCGAGGGCGTCGTCGAGCTTCTGCTGGTTGGTCTTCTTGACATTGGTATTCTTGGGGCCGATGATCTTGTCCAGCTGTTTCTCGTTGACGATATCGACTCCCAGTACCATGTCCTGAGTAGGCAGGGCAAGCGCGTCAAGATCAGAACCAAGGTGTATTGCATGCAGCGGGGGGTGGCAACCAGACGTCACCAACGGCGGGAAAACTTGGATCTCAAACAAAATAATTGAAAAAAGGCTCTCCGAAAAATGGTGCAAGGAAAACAAGCAACATCATCATTATCGTCGTCCGCGAACGGGATCTCTCTGTCTGTCTGTCAGTCTCTGTCTCTGTCTCGCCTGCACGTGTCGTCTGCTGGAGGAGGCCTTAGCCGCCGCCCAGGTATCCCAGAAGATGGACAGGAAGAAGAGCACGTTGACGATGATCAGCACGATCGAGTATACCTTGCAGCCCCTAGAGTCAGGGCTGGCCACGTTGGCCTTGATCATCAGGGCCTGGATTTATCAAGTAAAACAGACGACGCAAGGAGTACTCAAGATCTAGAACAAAATCGTTGGGAAAAGCAAATCATCCGGGCCTGCTTACTCGCGAAAAAATACGTCATTCTTTGAACACTTAAAATCTACAGTAGAAAAAAAAAAAAAAAACTTGAGGACAAAACAGCAACAATTATTGCCTCCGGTAGGCATTCCATTATAGAATACAGGACAGTCAACTCTAAAGCAGAGAAGCCTCCCTACTAGAGGTGACCGGCAGGCCGACTGCAAATAACTACAAGAGCCAAAGGTCACATAAGACACCATACGCCCTGTGATTTCGTATTTCGAGTCTGTCTACGAAAAACACACAAGGATCAGTGGTGCCAGCTGGCACAATTGTTTTTCCACAGAACAAGGAGGAAAAGGTAGCAAGTACGTGTTCCTTTCACCGTAGTCATTACCAAACCCGAGTCGCATTCGCTTCTCGTGGACTGCTACAGTAGTCTATGCATACAAGTATCAAGACGTCCCAATCATAGTCTATGCATACAAGTATCAAGACGTCCCAATCAAAATCGACATAGAGTTAGAACAGGGCCTCGCCTCACCAGAAAATTGGTGAAGAAGATCACCAGGCATCCCTGATAGGATTTCCATGGAGGCAGGGGGGCAGGGGCGAACGGAGCGAGGGAAACACTAGAGATAGTCCGCCGAATGGTGGGGCTGTACGTGAGGACTGTAGGCGTTTCATGCGACAGTTATCTTCGCCTCGACGGTAGCTTTTCTCACGGGGTATCAGAGGAATCCTGTTTTTATTTTTTTTCCTAGAGGAGCGTGCAACTAACCCATGCGATGTTAGGGGGTGCGGAAGAATACAGGAAGTTGCTCTCCACCACTATCATAAGCAGATGAAGGCTTACACTCTAATCCACCTCTACTGATCCGTAAAGAAAACATACATACAAATCAACCCCGATAACCTAAAAACTCCTGTGACATTCCTCCGGTGTGATATTCCTCCTAAATAAGCTAAACGTACGCCAGGACACTATGTAGTCTACACCGAAAGGTGCGTAGTCTAGACCTCCGCCAACATAGCCGGGACAAATACACACATGCATTTAGTGATTTGTTTTCAACCGCACTGAGACTGACGTACTTTCATTGGCCAGCCGGTTAGCGCGGTCGATGCTATTATCAAAGACACACACACGCACACATTCTTATTCTTGCGCTTGAGCGAGGAGCGAGGACGGGGGTTCTTTCGGCGGAGGTTACTTCATTATTTCTTCATTCTCACCGTACGGTAGAGCTCCATGTCGAGGTGGTCAATGTGTGGCCGAAGGCGCTCAAACGCCAACAGGCTGTTCAGTTTCGCGAGCAACGCGGACGACGGAAGGACATGGTTTGGGGGGGGCGACAACGGAATACACAGCAGAATGTCAGCCAGGAGGTGGAAAATAACAGGCGCAGTTACGCATTGATTTTTCAACAAGACCTTCTAGGTATTTCATTGGCGGGAAAAATATCAGCGTGAAGGGCAACACAAGTTCTCATTGTGGTTCGTCATGGCTGTTCACGAGGGAATTGATGCATACAAACTCCGCAATAAAACGACCGCAACAACAATGAGTGGACGGCAGCAGGTAAGGTTGTACATACACTCTGGAGTACACGCATGCCTACGGAAAGCGAAACGCAACAACGACGGCAGGTATGTTTGTTTTGAACGCACATGCCTAAGGAAGACGAACACGCAACAACGATATGAACCACAGCAGGAACCCTTGCTATCACACACACACCTGAGGAAGGCGAAGACGCAACCGAAGGCCACCTGTCCCGGCGTGTCGGGCACGACAAACACCAGCAGCCCCGTCAGCAGTAGACGGCGCATGCACTCGAAAACCTCCCGGCCACAAAAAAAAAAAGATGCAGTTTGAGGGAGGGGGGGGGGGGGGGGGTGTACTCATAGTCGTGCATGCCGTAGTCGTTTGACCATTGACCTCGCATCCCTACAAAGCCGGGACGGAGCACGCCGGGTTCTCACCGGACCAGGCTCTCACATCACCAAGCGCGAAGCGCCGTGAGGAATTTGGGGAGTCGCACGAAGGGTGCGCTGCATCCTGCTAAGGGTGTTCCGCATCTTGTGCTTACTTCCTTGCGTACGGATGACAGCTGCGTATGACTGAATTGTTTTTCTGGTGCTTTCACTTCCAGAGACATGTGTAACTGCCTCGAGGAAGCTTGACCATTTTAACACAACGTGGTGCAATCATCCCCCGTTGCGCGGAGTGAGGGTTCTCGACCCCGCACAACATGATCTACTCGACCACCATCATGGTTACCGTCAAAAAAAAAAAAACGAGGTAAAAAAAAAAACGGTAACCTGGTTGCCGAGTTCACGAAGTGAATTGGCTTCTTTTACAACGTCGTTGCCAAGCGACGAAAACCCAATCCCGATGGCAAACACCGAGTGGGGGGCTTGTTTTACAACGTCGTTGCCAAGCGACGAAAACCCAAACCCCGATGGCAAACACCGGGGGGGGCGGCTTGTTTTACAACGTCGTTGCCACGCGACGAAAACCCAACCCCGATGGCAAACACCGGGGAGAGGGGGGGGGGGGGGGGGTACTCATAGTCGTGCATGCCGTAGTCGTTGGACCATTGGCCTCACATTCCTTCAAAGCCGGGACGAAGCACGCCGGGTTCTCACCGGACCAGGCTCTCACATCACCAAGCGCGAAAGCGCCGTGAGGTATTCGGCGAGTCGGCGCGCTGCTAAGGGTGTTCGGCATCTCGTGCTTACTTCCTTGCGTACAGATGACAGCTGCGTATGACATAATACATTTTCTGGTGCTTTCACTTCCAGATACAGTTGTAAGCACTGCTGTGTAACTGCCTCGAGGGTGCTTGATCAATTTAACACATCGTGGTGCGAATATCTCCTTCGCGCAGAGTGAGGGTTCTCGACCCCGCACAAGATAGTCTACTCGACCACCATTCATGGTTACCAAAAAAGAAAAAGGCAAAAAAAAAAAGCTTCAACCTGGTTGCCGAGCTCACGAAGTGATCGGCTTGTTTTACAACGCTGCCAAGCGACGAAAACCCAACCCCGATGGCAAGTTTGAGGGGGGGTGGTACAAAAAGGGTGCATGGTGTCGAAAATATGCTGGTCCGCTACCGGGTATAAGGCCCTATTAGTCGGAGAATGAGATAATTACACATTCCCGTATGTGTCACGCCTTTTCCCCGGCCTTGAACAGGGCGAACGGCAGTTCTAACTCGGCCTTTACAGGGAGCAGTACCGTTTGACGTTTTCTCGAGGTAGAACACTATTGTTGGGGTCCGCCGAATAACATACCTCGTAGTAGTATCGGTTCGGGTAGTAGTAGGCGTTCCACAGGAAAGAAGTCGGCGCAATTGCTCGGTCAGTCCTCCTCTGATTCATCTTCTCGTCCTACCGAAAAAAGGTTGGGAAGGTGGTGTCAGCACTCTTAGCACTTTAGAGGCCGAAATGAAACCATTAGACTAGTCAGCGCTGACAACAGTAGTCCAATGGTTTGAATTCGGCTTCATACAAAGATAGTCGCGTCATGATGAGGGGAAACGCTGCCTCCCGCGACAAGATGACTAGCGAATGCCGATATGCCAGACAATGTTCCTCCGCTAGACAGAGGGTGTCGAATGGGCACTTTGGTGTATACCCGCCAGCTGTGTACAACAATCTGCTTCAAAAAGCAACCAGGCAATTCACAGTGAAATGGGAAATTCGTTGGGCAAGCAGGAAAACGCAACCAAGTTTCACAACGATAAAGGTTGATAAGGCGGCAGTCAGTCGGGACGCGGGGCCTCGTTTGAGTTCAGATTCTTGGCCCATTCACCAACCAATATCTACAACAGAAAGCAATCCGGCGAACTGACACGCACACATGACCATGCTTGTCTTGGCTCATAGTCACTGCGATATTTCTAATTATATCTTTGTAGACTTATGGCGATGTGTTGTTCAAATCTCGTTTCATTCCAGGAAGAAATGCTTTTACTACATACACTGCGGGCATGCAACGGACACCGAAGTTTCTCATCGATTCGCTTGAATGCTCTCCGTGCTTCTAGCATGTAGTCCACGCCTCCTACGAGGCACGTAACACACACGCACCATAACATGCTTGCGACCTCGTCGGTCCTTCAGCCCCTTGTCCGTGGGCGGGTTGATGCGGGACCTCTGCCTCGTGAGGAAGTAGCCGAAGGCTGCGGGAATACCGAGAGGATCTTGGGTGCTCCGCGGTGTGTTCAGGGGGGGAGGGGGAAACAAACAAACGAACAGACCGAAGAACAGCAGTGTGTGACAGCGGCATCAGACCAAACTCGGCGCTGGGTAGTCACACACCAAATTGACAATATCGCAGAAAGTGCAACTAGAAAAAAACACACCGGCAGACGAGGCGATGAATGGCACCATCACGTCCACGGCCAGCACGACAAGAAAGTACCGGAACAGTGCGATTGTTCCACGACGAAGCGGCTGCCAGCAAAGCCGAAATGGGTGGTTTGGGAAATGCCTATCTTGTCTTTCAGAAGGAGATTCTTTCGTTCACGTGCCGGTTGGGTACCGCAACAACCCTCTTGCGTATGGAGCAATCGATGTTTTTGCAAGATCGATCTCATGCACATC